TGGAAAGGGGAAGGGAGCCCCGGGCCAGGCTTACAGCTCCCCCCCTGCGCAGGGAGGGGAATTAAATAAAACAAAATGTGGGTCGGGGGGCTGCGGGCTCCCGGCTTTGTGCCCGTACCCCACTGCCTCCGCCACTATGGGCAATAATTTCCAAAATCTCATTAAAGTGCATTTATCAAAGCCCTAACATGTGCCCTCCGGCTCTGCCATAACCCCGCCGGCCCCCGGGGAGCGGGGGGGGTTTGGGGGAGGGGGAAATCCCAATTTCTGTGACAATTCGCCACCTCGGGAGCTTGGCTGCGGGGCAGATCCACATCTACAGATTTATAAGGAATATCGGTGAATTGGAAGGATTTCTCCGCCTTTGAAGCTTCGGGGGGAAGGAGATAGAGCAATCGTGAGAATAGGGAAGCTCATTTAGATTCCTATGTCCTGGAGAAGAATTAATTGTCTGCTGGAGAAAAACAGGCCGGCGCCGGGATTTTGGGGGGCGGGGGGGGGAGCTTTCCCTGGAGCTTCCATAGGGAATGCTGCTGCTGACTCCCTTCCTGCGTACGGGGAGACCTTCCCCCTTTTTTTCCCCCCTTTTCTTTCCCCCGAAACATCCTTGACGCCTTTGCTAATGCCATTTTTTCCAGCCAGGAAACGAGCCGGGAATTTCAGCCCGCAGAAACTCCGTTACAATTAAGTTCCTGTAAGCGCCGCAGGATTCGGGAGGCTCCGGTTCCCTTTGATTTTAGGAAATACGAATTTTTTGGGGGGTGGGGGCTTTATTTATTTTTATTTTTTTTAAATGCACTCTCTCTCCCCCTGACCGGGAGGGCTCCGTGCCCACGGCCTGGCGTGGCCGGAGCCGCTGCCGAGCAGCAGCAGCAGCAGCAGCATCAGAATATCCTCTCCTTTAAAATGCGATTTAAACCCCTCCGTGCGCCGCTCTCGGGGGCGGGATGTTGTTTCTCTGCGCTCGTTTCGCTCTGATTTTTTAATTTTGGTTTTTATATTTTTTTACGGCCGGGGAGAGCTGTCCCCTCTCGTGTGGCGGCTCTTCTTCCCTCCTCCACACTTTAAAACAAAGAGGGTGTTACTTACAGCGGTGCTCCCGAGGTGAAGCTCCTCACGACAATTATCAGGACACGGGCTGCTCTTCCCTCTCCCCATTCATTCCAAGTGGATCTCATTCTAGGAGATAAAATCAACCTGTCCCTTAACAAAGGCTTTGTGTGGGCTCCGCTAATCCGGGCCGAGCGCAAGGTGCAGCCCCGCTCCGTTTGTTTATTTGCGGGCTGCGGGGAAGGGAAAACAATGTCTCGCATCTTTGGCTCCATCAAACAATAAATTGATCCACTTGTCGGCCGCTCCCGGAGCCGCGGAGCGGGAGTGGGAATGGGAATGGAGACGGGCAGGGAGGGAGGGCGAGCGGCAGGCTCCAGCCCAGCCGCCTTTCCTGCATTTCTCCCTGTGACCTGCGTTGTTACACCCGGCCATCCCACCCCGTGTGACACGCGGGGTGTGCGTGGGGTCCCGCTGGGGGGGAAGGAGCGGAGCTGGGGCTGCTGTGGCTCAGGGCAGAGGGGGATCCCCGGCGCCGTGCGGGGAGCGGGACCCTCGGGCCGCGGCCGGGAGGAGGAAGGCGAGGACACGGCTTTAAACCGGCCCCACGGAGGGGGTTTAAAGCCGTGATCCCCGCCGGGGCTGGCGGCGGCCGGGCCCACGCGTGACTCGGGAGGCCTCGCTCCCCCTCCTACCCCGGGGACTGTCCCTTTCTCAGCTCCAGAAAACAGAAAACCAGCCTTAACCCCACGCGCGAATCGCTCCCCGTGGGCAGAGCCGCTTGTCCCCGAGGGGCTCAGCCCCGCCACTCGCGCCGCGGCCTCGGGGGGTCGGGGCAGGAGGTCCCCACCCTCCCGGCCTTGTCACCGCCTGTCCCAGCGCTGGAGCATCCCCGCCACGCGTGGGAGCACCCGGGGGGCTCGGGGCTGGCACCTCGGGGGTGCTGGGGGGGACAAGGCGCCGTGGTGACCAGGGACACCCCCCGGCTCTGTCGCGACAGCGGCGGCGCTGCCGTCGGGCGTGTGCCCCACGCAGCGCGACCCCGGAGCGGGGCAGGGTCCCGGCCTCGCCACCCCTCCTGACGTCAAGGGGCCAGCGCTGCTCTGACGTCACACCTCCGCCGGTGACGTCACGGTGTCCCGGGCCGTCCCCGCGGGTGCGCAGCGAGGTCCGCGTTTGGGGAGGGGGCCGCGACCCCCGGGGGCTCTGCGGGGCGCTCTGCCCGTGCCGTGGCCGCAGGGTCGGGTGTGGGAGTGCTTATCGCCATCATCATCGTCATCATCATCACCATTATTATTATTATTATTATTATTATTATTATTATTATTATTATTATTTATTGCGACCAAAGGCTGGCAGCCCCGCGGCGCCCGGCCCGCGCTGCCTGCCCCGGGGATGCTCTGCCCTCCTTCCCTCCCCGGCCTTGGCTTCTGTCGGGGCTCTCCCCTCGCCGCTATCGCGATTATCGCCGCTCTCCCCGCTGTTTTTTTTCCCCCCTGGGTGGAATGAAACCCCACCCGCGCCGGGGCCCGCCCGAATCCATCGGGAACTCCGCGATTCAGTGGGAATCGGCGGTACCGGGGCAGAGGAGCGGGCGGGGGCCGGCCCGAAGGGGTTCCCTCGATATCGAGGAGGACTCCGCAATGGATGAAGAGATAGCCATTGAGTGCGGTTGAATACCATGACAACTAGGAACAACCTCAGATTTATTCCCAACAGTTAGGGCGCGCTGAAAGAGGGCGTCAATCACGTATTATTTCGCCACTGAAATAAATGCAAAAACTGCGCCGAGACAAAGGGTTCCAACAGGAGCCGGACATTTGTCTACATTGCGGACATTGTCCCCAGCTTAGCCGTCGGGTTGTATTTGTGTTTGCGCGGGGCCGACCACCCAGGATGCGCGCTGGGGCTCGCTTAAAAAAAAAAAAAAAAAAAAAAAAAAAAAAAGGGAAAAAAAATCCCTGGGCATTGTCAGCCACATCACATACTTTATGGGAGGCAGGCTGGGGGCTGGGGCAGGAAAAGTGGGGGGAGAGGCGAGGGAGAGGATGGGAAGGTGCGAATCCATTGATGGGCGCGGAGGAGGAAGCCCGAGCCCAGCGCGGCCCGCGGCGTTGCGGCTCCTTCCCCCCAGGAAGGGAAACTCGGGCAACTTTTCCTGTCCAGAAATGAGGGGCATGGGGGGAACCCCTTCCCAGATTGTCCAAAGCCTGTGCCCCGCATCGCCCCGCACATCCCCATCGCCACCGAGCTCCAGCCCGGCCCGGGTGGGGCTCGGGGGATGGAAAACAGGAAAAAAGGAAAAAAATGGGGAAAGGAAAGGGAGGAAGGAAAGGGAGAAAAGGAAGGAAGGAAGGAAGGAAGGAAGGAAGGAAGGAAGGAAGGAAAAGGGACAAGGTCCTGCCCCGTGAGGGTGTGCACGGCCAATGCTCCTCGGCAGGTGCAGAGAACAGGACGAAGGAAGAAAGGGAGTGAAAATAAAAGTTGGTGGCAGGCAGAGAGAAGCAGGGGGGGGTCTCTGCATCCCGCGCCGGGCAGGGCGAGCCCCCGGAGCAGCTCCGCGGGGCTGGAGCCGAGTGCTGCTGTGTGAGCGTGGTGACACCTGGGGTGCCGCCTTCCCTCGGGAAGCAACCCCTTCTTTGCCCCTCTCCCTCCTTCCCCTAGTCCTGAAAAAGAAAGAAAGGGAAAAAAAAAAAGATGGAAAAGAAAAGAAAAAAAATCAGTCGTGTATGCGTCCGTCGGGCTGCAGCCCATCGAATGATCCCAACGGGCTGGATTCATTCCCCTGGAAGAAGGTGGCAAAATCAATGAGACCTCTTCAAATAAGCACACACTGCCCCCTCTCCCCAATAATCACCTCCCGGATCTCGTCGGGTCGCGCCTGACGATCGCGTTTTGCCAGTTCGCTTAATTTCGGAGCAAACTAGAATCAATTACTCGCTGTTTAATTTCCAGCGCTCATCCCTAAGCCCCAACCAAAATATTGACCTAGGCGGGTTAGATAAGTTGGGCTCTTGCCATCTGAGCCGCTTCGGTCCCGAGCGGGGCCGGCAGGCTGAGCGGCTGTGGGAACAACCCCCCTCGCAAATTATTATTATTATTAGTAGTAGTAATATTTTATTTTTTGTCCCCTCGCCCGGAGGAAAACACGGGTGGAAAAACACACTTTGGAGCGTCCGGAGCGTCGGGCTGGTGCGGAGCTCTTTGTATGTAAATAGTGCCCTTAAAAAGAGCTGGGAAGTCGCCCCCTCTCTCCCTCTCTCCCTCTCTCCCTCCTTCCCTCGCCCCCTCCCTCCCCCCCCCGCGCCGAGGACCCTCCCCGCGCCGGTAATTAACTGACACGTTATACCACTCATCACCAATGGTGGAAGCTCGGAGCTCGCCCAAAACCCGCAATTTCACATCTGCAAACACTGTCTTCATCCACTTGACTTCCAAGACCCGCCCACACGTGGCCAACCTTTCCTGGGTTTAATGTAGGTTTTTTTTTTCTCCCTCCTCTCGGCAGGTTCATGTGTGGGGACCAGCCTTATATGGACTCCTCGCTCCAGCAATGGCTCGGGATTTTCCAGCGGCAGGCGCGGGTTCGGCGCGGCTGAACAAGATCCAGAAGTGATCTTTTTTTACTTTTTTTTTTTTTTTTTTTTTTGCGTTTTTTCCCCCCCTTTTTTTTTTTTTTTTTTTTTTTTTTTTTCCCTGGAGTTACAAACTATTCCCGAAACCAGCTGCTGCTCCCGCTCTCGGAATTTTCCCCCGTGGCAGAACAACCACCACCGCAGAGACCCGTCGCTGCGGCCGCTCCTCCCGCACGGCCCCCGCCGCTTATTTTTCTATAAATCCATATTATTACTCTATTTTTTCCCCCCCTTCCCCACGCGTGCCGTGCCCCCCCTCCCTCCCCGTGTCCCTGCGCAGTGTCGCTGTCGCCGCTCGGCGTGTGCGTGCCCAGCCGTGACCCGGCGGCTCGGCCAAGCTGCGGCTCCAACTTTCCCAGGCGGAATTTGGCCGGAACATGTCTCTGACCAACACAAAGACGGGCTTCTCGGTGAAGGACATTTTGGACCTCCCCGACACCAACGATGAGGACGGCTCGGCGGAGGGCGGCGAGGAGGAGAGCGAGGCGCCCGAGCCGCCCAGGAAAGCGGGAGTTTTGGGACAAACCCCCTTGGACACTGTTCCGACGCTGCCTTTGAAGAGCCCTTTCTATGATAACAGCGATAATCCCTACACGCGCTGGCTGGCGAGCGCCGAGGGCATCCAGTACTCCCGTGAGTGGCGGGGGGACCGGGCAGCGGACACCGGGGGTCGTGGGGGGAGGGATGCGGCTCGAGGGGGGCACTTGCGGCTCGTCCCGGCCGGGAACGGGGCAGCGCCGCTTCCAGCTGGGAGCTGGGGAGCCGTGGATGGGTGGGTGGGTGGATGCATGGACGGACGGATGGATGGATGGATGGATGGATGGATGGGGGGGTCTGCCTCTCTCCACGGCCGGCCTCCATCCCGCCGCGGGATGCGGGGGGCGGCGGAGGGAAGCGGGGGGCGGCGGAGGGGCTCCCCCCGGCCCGTCCCCCTCCGCTGACCGGGCACGGCTTGTCCGCAGTGCACGGGCTGGCGGCCGGCGGCGGCGGCCAGGACCCCTCGGCCAAATCGCCGGAACCGTCGGCAGACGAGTCGCCCGACAACGAGAAGGAAGCGGTGGGCGGCGGGGACGCGGGCAAGAAGAGGAAGAGGAGGGTGCTCTTCTCCAAGGCGCAGACCTACGAGCTGGAGCGGCGGTTCCGGCAGCAGCGGTACCTGTCGGCGCCGGAGCGGGAGCACCTGGCCAGCCTGATCCGCCTCACCCCCACGCAGGTGAAGATCTGGTTCCAGAACCACCGCTACAAGATGAAGCGGGCGCGGGCCGAGAAAGGTATGGAAGTGACTCCTCTCCCCTCGCCGCGGCGGGTGGCCGTGCCGGTGCTAGTCAGGGACGGCAAGCCCTGCCACACGCTCAAAGCCCAGGACTTGGCAGCCGCGACGTTCCAGGCGGGCATCCCGTTCTCGGCGTACAGCGCGCAGTCCCTGCAGCAGCACATGCAGTACAACGCGCAGTACAGCGCGGCCGGCAGCCCCCAGTACCCCACAGCGCACCACTTGGTACAAGCGCAGCAATGGACTTGGTGAGGGCTGCGGGCCCCGGGCACACGCCCCGAACACCGAGGGAAACACTGAATTAACAGGCACAAACCCAGAGAGAGAGAGGAAAAAAAAAAGGAGACAGACTGATGCTCCAAAAATTAAAAATCGAAACTGCGGGGGAAGGAATGGCGAGGGAAACGCTATTATTATTATTATTATTATTGCTATTATTATTATTATTATGGGTTCTTTCCCTCGGCCGTTTCTTTTCCCCTCCATTTTTCTTGGGGGGGTTCGGTTTCATTTCGGGGGGAGGCGGGGGGTAAAGGGAAGGGAGGTGTTTTTTGTGCGTCATTGTTTACAGAAATTTTTTGCGCCATTCAGAGTGGTCCTGTCTACCTACAAATAAAATAAAAGAGGAAAAGGGGAGGGGGGGAGACCGTCAGAATTACAAAAAAAAAAAAAAAAAAAAGGAAAAAAAATAAAGAATAAAATCCCCCCGCTGCTCCTGTGATTTTGTGAGGAACGGGGGTGCGGCCGCCGCGCGGGCACCCCAAAAAGGAGCTCCGGCGCTGTCCTTCGAGAGCAATTTGCGGCCCCGACAGCTGCTGGCGGGGGTGTTTTTTGCACCTTGTCGCGGTCGTTGTCGCTGCCGCGGGCCGCGGCCGGGGCGCTCCGTTCTCTCTCTCCGATTTGGGGGTCGCCTTAACCATTCCCGAGCGGAGGAAAAAGCCCCGCGGGCGCTGAAACCCTCTCCGCCCGGAGAGCGGCCCCTTGGGCGCCCTGGCCTCCCCGCCATTTAATACGAATCTTAATTTTTTTTTTTTTTTTAAGCTGTGTTTCGAGGGAAATAGTAGAGAAGGAACCAATAACAACGACGGAAAGTCGCGGCCTCGGCCGCCGCCCCGCGTCCCCCGACCCATCCCTGCCTGGGGCCGAGCGGGGCCTGCGCTCCCCCCTCCACCCGCCGAGCTTCTTTTTTCGGGAAAAAAAAAGTCTTTTTTTTTTTTTTTTTTTTTTTTTGGTGGGGCCAGCCGGCTTCATCCGCCGGCGAAAATCCGGAGCGGGGAGAATTTCTATTTTGCTGTTTTCTGCTTTCCTGCTCCTCAGTGCTGCGGGGATTTGGGGGCTGGCATCGCCCCGGAGCGGCAGGGAGAGCGAAACTTCGGGGTCAGCCCGCGGGGGAAAGGGTTAACAGAGGAAGAACCCCCCCAAAAACTCGGAGGAGGAGGGAGAAGAGACAAGAGGGAGGCGAGGCGGGGCCGGGCGGCTCTGCCGGGCTGTAACGGGACCGGGAGCGGGACCGAGCCCGGCCCGGGGCGGCTTGCGGCAGAGCAGCGGCTCCCTCGCCCCCCCTGCGGCTTTCAGGCTGCTAAAGATGCTTCAAAAAACCGAAAACAAATCCAAACAGGCTTTTGTCAGGAGCAGCGGGGCCGGTGCAGCGCCCGCCCCGTCCCGCGGGGCTGAGCCCGGCCAGGTCGGGGCAGTTCAATGCCAAAGGGAAAATCGGTACCGGCCCCGCAGCATCCCAATCCCGCAAATCCCGGCTCTCCAACATCCCGGCCCGCAGCCCCGCCGATCCCGGCGCTCCTCTCCGCCCCAGCGCATCTTGCGCCGGCCTCGGGGCTTTTTTATCTTTTTCGCACATTTTTCCTCCTCTCTTTTCCCATCCCTGCTTCCCGCGCCTCCTATCCCCAAACCACCGCGGCCCCGCGGGGCTGCCAAACCCCGGGGAGCTCCGCTGGTGTCCCAGACCCGAGGGGACACGGGGACCAGAGCCGCTTTTCCCTTCTCCAAGCCCGGCGTGCGAGCCAGGAGCGGACAGACGGAAAACCGCCACTTCTTTTTTCTCCTTATTTATTTTTTTAATTTTTAAAAAATTCCCCATTTTTCCCCTTTTTTTTTTTTGGGTTTGTTTTTTTTTTTTTTTTTCTTTTCTCCTCTTTCCCCTCGGGCTGTGCCGAGTCTATCAAACCAGTTGTGTGGCCCTAACCTCCGTGGCCTTATATCTGCCGTGCTGCCGGGCCAGTCTATCTTCGCACAATATACAGTAGACTTCAGAGAGCAGCACAATGGGGGAGGCAGGGAGGTGAGCATGTTAGAGGCGTGCATATTAACGAGCCGCAGCCAAGGAAGCCAAAGGAGCCGGCGAAAAACCGGGAGAGACGGTGCTGGAAGGGGGGGACGCCCTCCCTGCGCCTCGCCTGCCTCGGCCTTGGCTGGTTTTGGGGCTCGGCATTGATGCGGAGCGCGGAGTCAGGGAGCGGTGTCCTCCGCGTTTTGTTCGGGCTGTCACTCGCGCTCATTGTTCGGCATGTTCTACATGTTGTATCCCATATGGCCAGCTGGGCCGGGGACCCCTCACAAAACCCAAATTGTGCCCAGCTTTCAAACCCAGCATTGTTGTCTGTGAAAGGCAGGCGAATTAAAAATTCGTGCTATATCTATTCTGGAAAAAAAAAAAAAAAAGAAAAAAAAAAGAGGGGGGGCAAAGAAAAAGAATCCCGCTCTCTTCCCTCCCTCTCTGCTCTCTCTTTGAAGGCCAACAGAGCCTCTCCTCTTCTCCCAGTGCCCGCTGACAAGTTTCTCTCTCATTTCACAGGAAATCCCCCCTCCCAAAAAGCCCCGAGCGCGTCCCCGCGCAGGAGCCCGCGGAGCTGCGCTGCGCGGGCGCGGAGGCCGGGGCAGAACAAGGCTGCATTGAGGGCGGGCTGGGCTGCAGCTGCCGCCTCCCTGCGCGGCCCGGCCGTACCGCCAGCCCGGCTGGCACGTCCCGCTGCCTCCCGGAGAAACAGCCCTTTCTTGTCCGCGCTCCTGGCTGTGCAAGGCTGAGGGAGGAAGGGAGGGAGAAGGAGAGAGGGAGGGACAGGAATTTAAAAGTGGGGGGAAAATATAATAATAATAATAATAATAGGGGAAATAAGTTGTTTAAATTTAATAAGGAAATAACGAAAATAGGGAAATGAATGGAGAAAGAAGTAATTTTAAAAGGAAAAACGATTAATGGAAAAAAAAAGAGAAAAAGGGGGGAAAGGAAATAGAAGAATAAAAGCGAAGAGGGGAAAAATAACGAAAAAGAAAAGAAAATGAAGAAAGGAGGAAAAAGAAAAAGATAACGAAACAAACTAAGAAAAACCGAAGGAAGAAAAAATAACCCGAGAAAGCAGGAAAAGAAAAACAACGGATGGGAAGCGAAACAGGGGAGAAGGGAGCAGAAGAGCGGGGGGAAGCCCCCAGCCCGGGCATGCCCCGCGGCCCGGGCGCGCAGCGCTGCGCGGGGTCCCGGCGCTGCCCGGCGCTGCCCCGGTGCCCGCCGTGCTCGGACGCGGCTCCCGCGAGGGGCTCCGACCCCTCCGCTCCCCGGCAGCCCCGGCAGCCCCTCTCGGCCGCCAGGGCACACGCGGCCCGCGGGTGGGGATTTGGGGCGGCGGAAGCTCAGCCCGAGCTTCGGGCCCCGCTCCGTTTCCTTTCCCCCCCGGTTTTCCCGGTTTTCTGCTCCGGTGCCCGCGGAGCCCGGCGGTGCAAGCTTCGGGCCCCGCTCCGTTTCCTTTCCCCCCCCGGTTTTCCCGGTTTTCTGCTCCGGGACGCGCCGGTGCCCGCGGAGCCCGGCGGTGCCGTCCCCCGCTCCCTGTTGACTGTAGGGCTTAGGCGGCAGCGCTGTGGGTTTTTCGGGGCTGCTCGAGGGGAAGCTAAGCCAATATTTACCGACCGCCAGGGCAGCTCTCGGCGGGGTTCATTAAGGAGCCGGGGGGGCTGCAAGGGCTGCGGGGAGCCCCGGGGGGCGGCGAGGCCAGCCGCGACCCTGGGCCGGGCTGCGGGGGCTTCGCGCCGGCTGCCCCGCAAATAACAACCCCCAAGCCCCCCGGAAAGCCCCCCTGGAGGGGTTCCTCGCTTGGTTTATTCGCCGAGGGCCGCGGGGAGGCAGCAGAGCCCCGCGGAGGCCGGGGCAGGACGGGGCGGAGGCTGCGCTGCCCCTCCGCGCCCCCCGGGCGCGGCAGAGCGGGGGACCCCGAGGTCTCGGTGTCCCTGTCCCCAGAGACACCCCCGTCCCCGGGCCGGGATGGCCGCGCGGCGGCGCTGCGGGATAAGGGACGCGCCGTCGGGGCCGCCCCGCGGGGAGGGGACCCTCGCAGCCGCCCGGTGACACGGAGGGGAGGGAGGGGACGCGGGACGGATGGGACAGGCCACCCTGCCTCGCCCCGCTGCAGGGGGAGCGGCCTTAGCCCTAAACATCGCTTGGAAGTCCAGCGCGGAGCTCGGGGCGTGACGAGGTCTGGCCCCTGACCCTCGTGGGGGGAGGACACGGCGACAGCAGGGACTGGTGCCAGCCCTCACACTGCCCAAGCCCCAGAACGCCACCTCTGGGGGGAGCAGAGTGTCCCCAAACCCCGGGCAGGGTTTGGCGCTCGGCGCTCGCCCTTTCCAGGGCGGAAGGACAAACAAACCGATGGCGAGGACAGAGGGAATCCCGGAGAGCTGGAGAGGATGGGGCAGCGCATCCACAGCTTTCTCCCGCCCCACAGGGAGCCACAGGGACGGCGACAGCTCCCTCCCTGCACTGGGGACACGGGGGACACTGGGGACACCCAGAGGGAGCCAGGCGCCGGGCACGACAGTGAGTGCCTCAGGACAGCCCCGTGCTTCTCCCTCACCGGGTGACCCATCACTGAGTTTTGGGTTTCATTCAGCGCTGGCGAATTCACTGCATTTTGCACAATGCCGTTAATTAACGGTAATTATGTAGAGAATCGGGGAATTTCTGATGAGAGAGACACAGGGGAGACCCCCCCCACGGCCCTTGCAGGCAGCAGCCTCCCTCTCTCCTTCTTCCCCTCTTTCTCTCTCTTCCTCTGTCCCTCTTTCCCTCTTTCTCTCTCTCTCTCCCCCATGGCTGGTGAATGTTGTCCCCACCTCCTCTCCCTCCCCAATATTTAAACAATCAGCAGACTCAGAGAACCTGGGGTGCTTCAGCTGCAAAGGACAATCACCTGATCGAGGGGGAAAAAATAAATAAAGAGGAGGATTTAAGGCTGCAGAGGGTTGGGTGCAGCATCCTTCCCTCCCACAGACCCCACAAGTCTCACCAGCCACAAAACTCAAAGTTTGTCTGAATACATTTTATTGGGCCATACAAAAATTTGGGCAGTTTCAGCGGGGTTCATGTCCCCGAGTTCCACTGACA